TGGGTCCCTACGTGGCGGCATCTGAATATTGGAAATATTCAACATTATCAGACACAGGGAAAATACTTTAGCTGATTAATAAAGCGCACAAATCTCTTCACGAGTTGCTAAACATGACTTCAGAAATACTGACATTGAATCATGAACATACTAGACTATGAATCCTGAACATGACTCGATCATCTTAACTAAGTCATAATTGTGAATTATTCTGAGCATAAACCTAGTTATTTGTTTGTAATTTAAAACATGAATCAGCACTTACCTATAGTCGGCGAGGCGCGAGCGTGACGTGTTCAGGTTTTATAAAATTTACTGACTCGTAAAAGTTTTTAGAGACGCAGAAACGTGCTCTGATATCAACTGTAGCACCCCGCTATGTCATAAATATCAGAGTTAAATTTTCGCAAAATCTTTTCTTAAAATATACTTATAAGTTTGCGAAATCATGATTCGGAGTGCTACCGTAATCCGTTACTTTGCTTTGAAATCCATTTATACCTTTTAGGGAAAACGGTTTATCATAATATAAATAATCCGACTTGTAATTGGACCAAAAGGCTAAGTTTGACAAACATGAAAAGTCAGCGGAAATCGTAGCGTGGCAAAATATTTAACTCCACTACGGGAGATAGTAACAGCAATGCTATGCCAAATTCAAACATATAAACAAAATCCTGAACTGCCCGTCAGCTCATGTTGGAACCCACGAGGATCTCGATATGCACAAATCACGGACAAACATTCAACATAAACCTATGCGCAACGAATGTAAAGGTTTGATGAAGAAAACTTACTGCTTAAAATTTATGTAGATCTGGCTGGCCCGGACAGTTGACCACAAATCAAATCTTCTCGGAGTCAAACAAACTTGACCAATCCAGAAAGCTGACGTCACGGCGAAGTCAACGGCGTTGACCGATCAGAAATCGGAGCGTTCACGCGCTCTCACGCGCGCGCGTTATCCTCGGCAACTGGAAAACTCCGGCGGCGCGTGCGGCGGCGTACGGCGGCGATCTCGACGGCGATCT